AGAAAAAATGATTCTTTCGCATCGTCGAAAATTGGTAGCACAGAATTTTGTCTTCTTTGAAAACAAAAAGTAGAAAATTAAAATAAGGTTTACTTTGTAAATTGTAGTTCTTTTCACGCTGCATCTTGTGGTATATTTTGTTTTTTTAAAACAACGCATTAAGTGATGCGAAAATAAAATAGAACAAGGCCATTTTTTTTGTCCGCGAGAGACTATAAGCTATAGAAATTCCCTTCTCAAATTTCCTATTGATTCTGTTCAGTTCAAAAGAGAACAAAATGATAGCCCTAGATTCAACATATTCTTCTTTGTTAGCAAAGTCTTGTGGTTCTTTGAAGGATCAGTTTATCAGTTGTTGACGATGAATAAGAAATATGTATTACCCATGTGATTAGAACCGGAAAAAAACCGGCGGTATACCGCCGGTTGACCGTTCGGTATAATGTGCACTCTACCGCCGGTTAACCGCCGGTACTGCCGGTAGTTGCAAAAAAACCGGCGGTATACCGGCAATATACCGGCGATAATTTCGTCTTTTACCGGTAAACTCAGGGTATGAACCTACTGACCCGCTATCTTAAGAATCTAAGAATGAATTTAGGTGGCCGCATACAAAAAATTGAGCTTTTGGATTTTATCATTAGAAAATTATTTTTTTGTTTCAATTTCGGTATTATTATTTCGTCTTAAGTGAAATATAACTCTTACTAAATTTTTTCTCCTCAGAAACAGCTATATTTCACTCACGACCAAAATGTAATACCGGAATTGATAAAGAAAAAATATTTTTCTAATGATAAAGTTTAAAAAAATTAATTTTTTGTATGCGATAATATAAATTCATTCTTAGATTCACAAGACAGTGGATCGCAGACTTGATTATAAACAGTTGTGGTTTTTGCTTCATTTTTCCGACTAAATAATGCTTAAAATAATCTAAATAAAAAATAAAATAAAATATTTTGTAATAAATAAATAAATACTTTCTTTTCCGGTTTTAAAATTGCTCTAAATAAAAGAAAAAATAATAAAATAATAATATTTTGCATGAGTACGTAATTTTTCTTTTGGTGCTGAGATCGTCGTAAATAAAACAATGATAGAGTAATAATAATTCATATAATAAACACTTACTGTTTATTGCAATGTTCACAATCATCTAAATCAAAAAGAACGTTATCATATATATTTATAGACAGAGAGAGATAGATAGATAGTTTCACCGCCGGTATACCGCGGTAATCAAGAAAACCGTCGATATACCGCGGTATTTAAACCAACCGCCGGTATACCAGCGGTATACCGCCGGTATTCTCGACTATCGCGGTATACCGGCGTTAGTTCAAGTAAATGTACGACATGGGAACTTTTAGCTCAAACTACGTAGACTAGTACTTTTGCTTGAGAGCAGCCTCATTTGAAAGAAAACATCAAAATGTCTTGAATGGTGTTTCCACAAATACGAAGGTTGAGAATGCGTTCTCGATTGTTCGATTTATTTGTTTCAGGTGAACAAGAAATTACTAAATCTAAAATTTCAACACTTTTGGACTCATAAATACACACCACACACTCGACACCAATTATTCATAGAAATAAGGCTTTTTTGTAGGCATTTATGAAGAAAAAAAGTCTTGTAACCCACGATAAGTGACTTATTCCACTGAATTTTATCTAATCAATATCCGTTCGATTCATTCAAGCGGAAGAGCAAGGTTTTTTTAGGTTGATTGAATTTGATTCCCGATAAGATAAATACTGAGCTACTTCTTTAATTGTTCTGTTTCTGATATTTTTGTAAATAATTCACTATCACGATTTCTTTCAGTTTTAACGTGATATATGTATAGGTAGATATTATAAAGATGTGGGTTTCTTATGTTTTACTTATTGAAAACTAGTCATTGAGTGGATATTTATCCAGTTGACATACAGAGATTTCATGGTGTCTCACTGTCGGAAATCTTTCAAGAGACTCTTGTTGTGGAAAGTGGATGATGACCATGAGAAATACAAATTTTGAAGGCAGACTTGGATGTATGTCGATGGAGAGTAGTCCACATCCACACTTAAATTGACATGCCTCACAAAGCATTCTGATATACCTAAGGACCCAAGCAGGTTCTGCAAGGCCTGTTTCTTTCTACTTCTTCAACGAATAGGCAAAACTTAGAAGGTCAGATTGCATGAAAAATGGCTTTCAGATGACTCAGTTATCAATGTGACATTAGAGACGTCTGTAAGAGATGTAGTCGATCGAATTTTTTTTTCAGTTCATAATCCAATGCGTGGGTACAAATAGAGCATACTTTTGATTTTTATCCATGAGTTTTCATATCTAGATTATGCTCATATGTCTAGTTCGCACTAAAAATTCAATTAAAAGAAGCGATCAGTTCTAGGATAATGCCGATGGTTGAAATGGTCGGTAGAGATTACGTGACAACACATTTTATCAAGCGAGCAGTTTACCAGAATAAAAATTTCTTATTGTTAGCTCATCTAGTTAAAGAGCAGGCAAATCGTCGATTGAGTGATTAATCCATGGATTGAATTAAAGTATTAGAACCGGTCGAAGGTAACTAAATCGTTGATCCAATCAACGAACGCGTTATCTCTAGCGCTTGTCTAGTAGGAGTTTCTACTAATAAATCTAGTGCACAGATCTCGCGTCACTGTCCGTTGGCAAGCCGTCATCAGCTTAACATTTTTGCTGCTTTTATAATTGTAAGGTAATTGAATCTTTAGGGATATAATTTGAACCAGTTCTATCGGTAACATTGGTTGATGGACGATCTTTTGTTGGACTATCTCTCTGAGCTTTCTTCGTTTTTCAATTGAAACAAAATACTCCTAAATACACTGTTTGTTCTAAAGCAACAGCCATGTATTTTAGCTCTCACATCTATTATATCAATAACTTCTTCAGTATAGAATGAATATACGTTGCATCATAATATATACTTGATTGATGTTTTGAAATGATCTTGCTTTAATCTGATGTAATATCATTGCATCATTATTATCTATGTCTGTTTAGATCTCTAGATCTAACACTTTAATTCGAGTTTTTGTTATGAGCTGACTGAAACCTACACTTACGATTATTGTTGTCTAGTATTTTTATCTTGAAAGAATCTGATCTTCAGTGAAGAGAATACCGTGAAGAATCATACTCAACAATCTGCAAGTTGAAGCAAATAATATTACGAAACAATGTTGCAATACTGATGCTGACGCGGCAACTCCCGATGACTCACACATACCCATGAAAGGGCTCTCAAAGTGTACATTTTTTTCTGTTCTACCTGTACTCGCTGTAAGAACAGAATGGCAAGTAAAAGAAGTAAGCTGATTCACACAATTTGAATCATGATAATATAATTTTAATGTGTTCTACTGTGAGCAGTATATATATATATTGCCCTTCGCAACAGCTAACAACGAGAAAATATTCAAATTAAGACATCGATGACACAAAACTGCCAACAACGTTTTCCATTAGGAAAAAAAATTCATCGCTCAAAGTCAACTCCTCGACAGTCGTTTCATTTTAGTGATATGTACCAGCCGTGTCGAAGTGAGTTGTGAAGAAGCTTTTAGGCTACAATATACCACCCTTTAATTTTAACAGAACAAACGTCGCGTTGCTTTGTCTCAGCGTTGTCTCCATGATTAAAGCTAAAGATGTTCATGATTTGTTCTACTGTAGTATAATCTCTGCAAAAAGCTTCTGTTGATTCTTGGAGAAATGCTTGTTTTTAATTTGACTAATTATTCGGTACCTTGTACAGCTTCAGTTTGATTGAACAAACCTCGATAGAATGCAACTGCTCCTGTTAATTCAGTACTGTTTTCGGGCAACTCTTGAAAATAGTCGCACATTTTCCCTTTTCCATCACATTTTTACAATAGCTGCTAGTTTTCTCATTTCTTGAAATCATTTGAACTTACTGACTCTTTTCTGAAAATAAACAAGACGTTTCTCACTCAATCAATGTATTCATTGTTCGACTTTAGCTCGTACATTTTCATCAACATCAATTCATCAACAGACCGAAGAGCAAACAACAATGCTAGCAACGGCTACCAGTAATCTCTCGTGTGGCACGCTACAACAACTACATCAGGTGGCAGTGCCTCGGCAAAAGCTACTAACGACACAGAAGCAGTTCGAGTATGTTCTCAGAAATATTCACAGTCAGATAGTTACGTATGTGCCAGTTTTTAGTACATCAGCTAAAGAAGCAGTCTTTGAATGTTCTGTATGCGCAACAGAAAAGCTACTCGATGAATTTCAAGGGATATATGGCAACACATGCGGGCATATTGAACGAACCGTGTGCAATTCGTGTGTGTACGAAAATATAAAGTGTCTGATTGAAGATTCAAGTATCTATGATGGACAAGTGGCATGTCTGGAACCAAATTGTCAAGGAACATTTAATTATCATGAAATTCGAGAAATTATTCTCTTCATAGGAAAGAACAATGCACTATTCGAACAGTATGATCAACGTTTGATTCTTCGACATCTCGAACAAATGCCAGAATTCGTTTGGTGCGCACATAATTGTGGCTCCGGTCAATTGTATGATCCCGAAGGATCTTCGAATCATATGATTACATGTACAAAATGCAAACAACACACATGCTTCCAACATCGTGTCGTGTGGCACACGGATATGTCGTGTGATCAGTATGATATTCTGACGAGCCAACCATCTGGCACCGATGCCACCAATAAATGGTTGGAACTGTTTACTAAGCAGTGTCCTCAATGCAAATTTCATATTCAGAAGAACGAAGGATGTGATCACATGACATGTCGCTATTGTAAACATGAATTTTGTTGGGAATGTATTGTCGATTATAAATTCATTGCGACTAAAGGCCACAGCCAACACAATATATCGTGTAGTTACTATCAGGTAAACAATTTATAATATGATGCAACACCATTTGCGCTCGTGAACAAACCCTGTTATGGTCATTTCTTTCAAAGACTACACAACAGAGCTCAGCAGGACAACGAAAAGCTTCTGATTCATCCTGAGATTATCAATTCCACAGTTAAGCTAAAACATTTTTTCTCTTACAAGTTTCAAAATCACATATTGACTTTCATTGCTTTGACATGTAATAATGTTAGCTAATGAGAAACATTATCCAGAAATCTGAATGCTGGAGGAACTATATTTTCACGAGCCTGCATTGGACAAAATAAACAGTGGAATCACATATGTACACAACATAAATGAGCATATGATGAACACGAAGGCATCGTTGGAAGTAGCACTACATAGAATGAAAAATAAGACGCTCTCAATGGAGTTTTGTGTCGAAACGTGAGATTGCTATTTAGATTAAGTAATTCGATTATCTTTGTTCGTAAAGATGCGTCTTACATGTAAGTAGCTGTATTTTTTAGAGTGAAACGGTCTTTCTTTTCGAAGGAGAGTGCAACATTATTGTGTCATGTGTGAGTTTGTTTTAGCCGGATCCTCCGTCTGATCCTGCGGCCACTTTACCTGTTCAGGCTTAGATATGACAACGACATTCCGTACGATATTGGTGCAACTTCAAACGTCGACTATGGCTTCAAATTAACATATATGAGTTAATACTTTGTTTTATTGAATGTATATTTTAAAATAAACGAACATTTTTTACTATTTTGACAAAGAACTCTTTTCATTCCAGGTCTTGAAGAGATGTAGACTTCGGAGTTTAAAAATATGTATACAATAAACATTGGATGTAATAAAGTAATTAAACTAGATCATAGATGTTTAAGGAAGCAATATACCTTTCATTCATCAAAATTCTACTGGGAATATACAAAACACAGCAGAACGGTTTGGGTATGGAGTTGAGCGAATAGAAAATTCACCTTTACAACCACACCCATCCTTGTTTCTCCAATACGTGACACGTTTTCTTCTCAGAAAATAATCAAGCCAGTGTATATAAAGTGCTGTTTCTATGGTAGTCAACAAGTTCATTTATGTAAAAGAAAATCATGAACGTAATGAAGATTAGAACTAAAAGCAAATACTGTTTGTAAAGCTTATTTGCTGCTTCGATATCCCATTGATCCGATGTATTTGATGTTCTCAGCCATGCAGAGACACAGGCAATAATCTGAAACATGGAAATAGTAATCAGATGGAATATGGCCATATCAGCTTCAAAGACATGAGAAGTTGAATAGCAGAATGTCATGGATTGAGTTGCATCACCATGTTGAATAATTGACTGGATGAAAGATAACCAAACAATCCTCTGTGTGTGCATAGAAAAATCTGGACAATAATCTCAACAGGGACTTGTTTCAAGTGCTTGATCACTGTTGGTTTTAAACTCTATTCATAAAGCAGTGTCTCATGTACTATGAACAGCCTCAACTGGATACATTTCTTAGACCTTTCCCGAAGAATTATAACTATTCATACGTATAAATGTAACTAAACCAATTCTGAAATGTCCAACGCAGAAAAATTTTCCCTTCGCCAGATATTTCATATTCAAAAACCATTTATAAATCACGAAAGGTACGAAACTATAATGCTTTTTTTGAAAACTCAATATCTGATGTAGAAAACATTCGCTTAAGCTAAAATTGTTTTGATTATCCACTTCCAAGGAGGCCTATCTTTAGACAAAATTTCAACCAGAAATATCGTCCTTTGATTTGTTGATATGCGACAATGATTTGCTATCGACTTCAATAAGGAAAAAACTATAAATCCTAGCCAACGCAATCGGGCTATTCTGACACAATATCTAAAATGAAGGCTTGAACTGACAAAAATCTTTTGTTGTACTATGCATTGTCAGATGCATATTATTACACAAAAAAGATCCACTTCGAGGACTGTTGGCAAGGACTGTAGTATTGTATCAAAATCTAGAGAAGAAAGAAAATTTAGAAAACGAAAAATCTAGAACCTATACAGTGCTGATCCGTTTATTTCAGACTTCGTAGAAGTTCTGATTCTCTGAGTTTGCTCTTACGTTCTAAATGCTTCCTGTTCTTTTCACAACAAAGTCTTTCCCCAAGACGGCTCCGTGAAGTATGAGTAAGTGAAGCAGTCCTAATCCTAGAAGAAATTGAATTTAAATAGCTTCCATTAGACTTTAAGCAGATATGCAGAAATTAATGTAGCCCTGAAACAACCACTTGCACTGTTTTCTTAGAAAAATAAGAGTTTCAGTAAATTTGAGAGAATTCAGAAAATCTTATACGAGTGGCTTCCAAAAGGATATGGGTGGGCGCGGTCGTGAATACGATGCGTTGAATGGCAAAAAATATCTGTAATCCCCATTCACTCCACCATACTCACATCCACACTCTTGTCGAATGATACAGACTCACCACAAACGCCCAAACGACATATTGAAGATGAAATCATTTGTAAACCAGGTAAAATTGCTCTGCTTTTCAATAAACAAAAAAATGCTTTTCTTCTAGATGAAACACGTATTGCGACATTATTTCTTCCAAAAGAATTTTCAATTGGTGCTGGTGAATTAACCATAACTGGTACCGGTGGTCTTCATTTCGAAGAAAAACGTGATATTATTGTATATGATAATTGTCATGTTATTCTTGTACAAACATCAGCATCAACTTATCGTCCACATGATGCAATGGAAATTCGTGTTGTTGCCACTAATGAAAATCTTATGCCAATTGAACATAGTGAACTAATTGTTGAAATTTACGTAAATTTTTATTTATTTATTTTTATTGAAAAATATATATTCTAATCGTAGGATGCTACTTTTAAACTTGTTGGTGAATTTCCACATGTTCCTATTCATTCAGGTCTTACTGAAGTTCTTCGATATCCACTTGCTGAACATGTTAATGTTGGTACATGGCTTGTTTCAGCTACAATTGGAAATACGACATCATCTGTTGAAGTTCTCGTCTCATGTCCAGTGACACCATCATTTGATCTTAAAGCTATTTTTCAACGATTTATTCTTCGTACAGATAAAACACTTCGTGATGTTATTGAAATCAATGATATTCATAATGAACCAATATTTGGTCGTGCTATGATTGCTATTGGTGAATTAACTGAACAAGACATTGAGTCAAAAGTGAAAATGGGATTAAAAGAAGTTAAACTCAAAACCGAAGAATGGCGTAAATGGAAATCACTTGAATTTGAATAGCTGGTCGTGTCGAATTAAATTATGATCTTTTATCATTATTTAATGTTGATATAACCGAAGCTATTGGTATTCAAGTTTATATTCAAGTAACTGATCTTATTTCTGGTCACGATCGTATCATTCATCATATGATTCCGATCTTTACACATGATATTCTCTATGATATTCGTCCACTTGAATTTGAAGCTGGTGTTAAAAATGAATTTGAACTTATTGCTAAACGTCCATATGGGAAACCAGTTAAAACGAAAGATGTTATTGTTACTGTTACAATGATGATAGGTGATGAATATGGTGAAAAACATGATGAAAAAGTAGTTGAAATTAAAGATTTCTATACACGGTATGTTAAATTAAATTGAATAATTAAAAAAAATAATAGTGTTCTTTATTTTAGTGGTCGTAATGATATCGGTTTCTTCAATCTTGAAATTCCTAAAAATTGTATCAATGTTCTTATGGCTGTAAGGATTTCGTTATTATTATTATTATTATTTTCTTTTTTTTCTATTTTTATTTTTATTTAGATAACACCATTAGGTGAAGATGGTAAAGTTCGTGATTATCGTACACATGCTCTTCCACTTATGCCAACACCTTATCGTCATAGTGCTAAATTATCTATTGAACTTTTGCCATCAACAGTAACTGCACTTAAAAACAGATGATAATGTTCAAATAAATAGAACAAAAATATAAACAAATGGACGAAAAACAAAAATGTATATTCTA